ATCCCTCTCCCTTCCTCTCAGTAAAATCAATAAAATATATTTAAAAAACACACAAACATATCCTTGGGTTGAGGATTAAATAAATAGATAAATAAATAAATATAGTTTTCCACATATTTTATAGTATAGCTTTTTCGGTATCAAAAGCCACTGTGCAAGTTCACTTGACAAAGTATTTTTTGTTGTTGTCTAGTGTTATCTAATGAAGATACTTACAAAGATTGACTCTTGGTAATGCCAAAGAATGCCAGATAATTCTTAAATTTGTTACTAAGAGTCTACCTAAAAGCAAACAAAAAAATAGGTTACCTTAAGTAAGAGCTTATTTTTGCAATACAAAATAAGGTGGACATGAAACTAATAGCCCAGTATCAGCAGCTCCAAGGGAAAAAAAAGTCAAGTAAATCTGAGCATGGTAAACTATGTATCTTAGAGATTTATAATACAATTAGCATATTATGATAGCTTTGAGAAACCCTAAAATAATAAAACCCTCTTAACTTTGTTTAATACATCTTCAACAAATTATAACCATAGAACTCTTCTATGAGTAATCTATAGCCAGGTCATACTCCTTCCTCCCTGAAAACCCCTAGAATATCTAAAATCAGACTAAACCTGTATGAATGTTGGGGTGAGAGGGGATAGGAGATTCCAAAAATAAAGGAAGGTGTCCTCAAGAGAAGCTGCAGAACATTACACGGTATCCTTGACAAATGATAAGTAACCCAGCCTGGCTAGAGTGGAAGGTTCACACAAGATCATGGAAGAGTAGACATTGCATCTATCAGTCGGGGTCAAACAGAAAACAGATGGCACACTCAAATTAGAATAATTGAGGTTTCTATACAAAGGATTTATTACAAAGGCGTTGTCAGGAACCATAAGTGAATATAGCAGATGAACAGATGGCACACTCAAATTAGAATAATTGAGGTTTCAATACAAAGGATTTATTACAAAGGTACAGGTGGGTTGTCAGGAACCATAAGTGAATATAGCAGATCTGTACCACCCAGGCCCAGAGGGACAAGGATAGGGAGCAGTTTACCAAATGAAGGAACAAGGTTTTAAAGAGCCAAATGTGAGAGGAAAAGAATGTGGGGAATAAACACCCAGACTGTACTCTCCTGCCTCGGACAGTAGTGCATGCAAGAAAGGTTGTTTTCGGACAAAGAGTTTGCCTTATAAAACCACTGACCAACTCTGATTATCTGTTTTTCTGTTCTTGGTACATCGCCTATCAGTCTCCAGCATTCTTATGTTGCCTTTGTCCTGCTAAAGGACCCCATCGTACAAATCCAAACCCAGTATTCCAAGCATGGACTTTTCTCCCTGTCTTCCCAAACACCAAAATAGAATTCTCCCTGTTTCTCTTAATCTCCCAAACACTGAAATATGGCTGTTTCATTCTCATACAGTCAGTGCGTAAAGCTAATCTGATAATTCCATGTCAGAGCACTTACAGTTGAAGTGGATTAAATGTGCTAATCTTTTGGGATATTTATAGTTTTAACATGGAGCTTCTGAACTTGAGAGTGACTTAGCTTGGTCATTTTCACACTTCTGGAAAGGAGGGGAAAGAGATAGCTAGAAGGCAGGATTCTTCTCCCCTCCCCCCTTTTAAAAAATCCTCACTCGAAAATATGTTTTTTTTAAAAATTGATTTTACTGAAGGAGGAAGGAGGAGAGAGAGAGAAACATCGATTGGTTGCCTCCTGTACTCACTCCAACCGGGGATCAAACCCACAACCTAGATACTAGTATGTGTCCTGACCTGGTATCGAACCCTCATCCTCTTGGTGTACAGGATGATGCCCGAACAACTGAGCTACCTGGCCAGGGCCCCTTCCTTTTTTTTACTTTTTTATTAGCCAGAAGCTCTGTACACTCCTGTAAAATTCCATTTTCTGAGCAATTGTTTCTGAGGTGTGTTATTTTTATTAATAGTAAGATTTCTGGCCAGGAAGATGTTTTTTCCTCCCTACCTCAAAGTGCTAGTGTAGGGTACTGCACTCAGTGAGTACCCTTAGTCTTTGTTTGGACTAGTGGATGGAATGTCACATAAGACCTCCTGCCAATCTGTATGAGACCAAAACTTTCTCTTGGCTTCCTTAAGTTAATTCAGGTGTTTTCAAGATCTGACCATCTAGACTCCAGATTCTAGAGATTATTATTCCATCCCCAAAGGCACACACTAAGACTTCTTGTTTGCTACTAGGTCTTGATACTCATTCTCACCTGGTCTTGGCGTATACTAGGAAGCATTTCAGAAATGTGATCTAAGCATTCCTTTAATGATGGGCTCTAGCTATTGACAGGATCCACCTGTAGCTGGTGATGCTGCTAGGTTCTCACAGAGAAGAAAGGCTCATAAATGAACCTGCTGTTCACATCCCATCCCAAAACAGACCAGAAGAAAGGCTCAGAGAGGAATCAGCCACTCAAATGCTGCAGTGAGCATGTTATGCCAGTAAGGGCTACTGTTCTATCTCTAGGATTTACTGATCCTTCTTACGTGAATGAGGTCTGCTCCTTTTCCTCACTTTTTCTCTTCAATAAGAGGTTTATGTCCCACCCTACTAAATCTCCTCTCCCCCCAAAGATCTTTTTAGATACACTAAGCTTCCCACTCCTAATTTCCTATTTTTATCTTGAAGAACAGTAAGTGATGCATCTAACATCTGCTGACCACTGGTCATTGGCTCCATACAGCTGCTTGGGAAAATTTGTTGTTTTGGAGGGACTCGAGAGTCCAGCCCTGTTGCTCCTCAGTGACATGCACAGACGTTTCACAGTATTTTCTGTCCTTAACCTATAACTAGACTTCATCATATGGCACTGAATTTGCTCTCCACATGTCCATCTCTAGGTGTCATTAGTGATTGTGCATTACTCTTGGATTTCTTAAAAGGAAGCATAGCTCCATGTAGCACAGCTATGACCTATTTATGTTCCACTACCCCATATTCTTTTTTGGGGGGAGGCAGATCCAAAAGTCAGAACTATCCCATGACCCTTGCAAACAGAGCTCCTGGACTTTTAACAGCTACATTGGATGAAGCTGATGTCAGAATCAGGGCTTACCGAAGGACCAGAGTTCTGAGGGAAGGACCTGTATTCCCTGGCTACAGGTTTAATACCTACCCTTTCTTCCATTTCAGTCTGAGAAAAGTCTTATGTGGATTTAATGCTCCCACTCTCAGAATTACATACAATGCTTTCCATATCTTATTCTCCAGCTAATATAAACCAGAAATATAAAATGTATTAGATAATATACTCACCTCTATCCCCATTATTTCCTTTGGTGTCTTCAATTGAATCTAAACAATCAATAAGGACTTCTCCAGGTCTTGTTTTCATTTGTCTAAAATAAATATAAATACTTTAATTTTAAAGCTACAATACACCCATTTAAATCTAGTTAGGGAGAAAAAAGACATATATATACCTATAAAACAGCCAATAGTATAAAGGATACAGTACCAAATGTTCATGCATTCAAAACTCCAAGAACCTGGAGATAAGTGTGACTGGAATGACCAGGACATGTAGAGCAGCCAGAACTAGAAAGAGAGGTAGGACTTGGAGGGGAAGGAAAGGGGAGAGAGAGAAGGAAGAGAGGGAGAGAGGCACAGGAATAAGAAACGGTAAGGGAATGTGAGGAAACTGGCCTGGCTGGAGAAGAAGGTCCATACTGAGAGGCAGTGAGAAATATAGTTGGGTTAGGAGGTAAGAACGAGATTACAGAGAACCGGAGAACCATAAATGCTAGTCAGATAGGAATGCGCCTTATCCTGTGGGCAGTGGAGAACCCCCAGAGGTTTCTGAATAGAGGAAAGTATGGAAGGAAAGCAAAGCATCATCAGGACTTTGTAAACAATTAGAAACAGGAGACAAAAGAAAGTAATGAAGAATGGTTTGCTGATAGAATGCACTCCAGTATATCAAAGAAAACAACAAAAACAAAACCTAGCAAAATATGTAGGAGAGTCTTCTAAGACATTCTCCACAGAACCAACTCAATTATTTATTGAGAACACAGATACGGTCATGTCACTTCCCTGCTTCAGTCTTCCCTGTCACCCGACTGCCTGGAAAATGAAGTCCAAAATCCCCAGTTGAACATTTCACAATCGGACTAACCTATTTTTCTATTTGTACTAACCTCCACCCTCTACCTGCCAGACATTGCCTTCTCGCCAATGAAGTTTATACTTCCAAGACTCTGCTTTTTTCCCCCTGGAATACTTTCCTCCTGTTTTCCTTGACTAGGCTCTGACCATTTTTCAGAGCTCAACTCAAATATTCTTTCTTTTTTGAGGCCTTCCCAGGCAGAATCAACTATTCTGTTTCTACGGTTCCCCAACTTTTTGTTCATGTTTTTTGGATAGTTTTATCACATTTTAAAAAATAGTTGTCAATGTATATCTCCTGCACTAGAATGGGGGTAGGGATGGGAGAGAAATAATTTCCTATTATTTTGTATTTAGCTATTAGCACAGTAACCAGAACCACAGCAAGCATTTGTTAAATGTTTAATAACTAAAAATATTCACGAAATGGATGTTTTCTTGGATCAGGAATCCCCCAAGAATAACAGAAAAAGTCATAGAATGTGTGTAATATGTAACTATGGTTTGTCACTTCATAAATTCTCTTCCCTTTTAACTCCTTAAAGGTTGTAAGATCATGCTAGTATTACATTTTTAGTCACGAATACGGTAAGTCTTGAAAGTTAACATTTCATTTTGCCATCTAATTAGGTTCTGTTCATGGTAAGGAATCATAAGTGGCTAATAAGTCCCAGGTCATTAACCCAAGAACCTTAGCTTTACTGTTTTCCAACATTTAATATCCAAAATGGGCATTTTTCCTGGGCTTTTTTGGGCAAGAGATTTCTAACTCTTCTCTCTTTAAAGCATGCCATCTTCCAAAAACTTCTGTTTGAGAGGCTCCGAAAGGGGCTCCTTCTTCCTATTGGCGATTTAGAGGAATAGTTAGACGGGGGCTTACCCCGGAAATAAAGTTTGCGCGGTGAGGAGTTTTGGGGGATGCTTACGCCCACCCCCTCATTGTACTGACAGAAGCCTCAAGCACTGGACGGCAGTCATTTATCTGAGGGTTCACCACGTGTGTCGTTATTCTAGGCCTAGTTTTAGAACCCGTTTCCCGCGTCCCTGCCCTCTTCCTCCCACCACCCCAGGCTCGCTCGGGTGTACTGGACGCCGGGTCCTGCGTGGTGCCCGCGGGGCTGGGGCTC